GCGCGCTGGTAGGCTGTTAAATAATATAGACTTGCACATAGGCTGCAGAATGTGCTGTGTGCGGTGTCAAGGGCACTTAATATTAAAATTGAAAATTTTGTTTTCCGCTGCAATGAATCCCAGTGCCCAGCGGCGCGCCGATTGGAACGGAAGATAGTTATGAGTTGCCGCTGAATGTTTGCAAAACGACTTGGCACATTCCCTTACATATACTTACATAAATACATTCGCGTATACTATGTAGGAAAAGATAACAGCTCCACATTTATATAGGCACACTCCCATAACCAGTCGCCGAGTCACCTATTTATATCTTTGTATGTGCTGCGGGAATTTTTACACATGTGCGAAACTGTTGGCAATAACTGCAGTAACAAACAGTCGCACAAAAGCATTGTTGACAAAAACTTTCACATGTGCCACAGCAACAGCAATAAAGGTAACAAAAATTGCAGTAATAAAATGTGATCAAAATCACGAGCGCTTTTTGGGTGTGCATGTTTGTGTGAGCTGTCGGCTTTCTGGTTGTTTGTTGGTGTTTTCCACCGCCAATTCAATTTATTGTATTAAAACTCGGTCGTTGCATATATGTACATATATAATTAAATACAAGGAAGTGTGTACGCGAAATCACTCAATGACACAATACCAGATGAAACCGAAAATGGTAACTTTTAAATGATTCTATTTTTTTAACATGATCGAATATGGGAATGTTTCGAAATAAATGTACAAGTACAAGTACAAGACAAAAAAACAAAAAAACGTTAACATCGGTTTCACTGAAGCTAATAATACTATTCACAAATATAAACGATTCTTTACAAGCACTTCATTCCGATCATTCAGTTTGTATGGCAGCTATATGCTGTGAATAACCAGCGATTATTCAACTTCTTTTACCCCAAATAAAAAATGCGTTTTGGGAGTTGACTAGAATATGTCTTGCCATTCCAGAGAAATCCTGCCGAAAAATATTTCGACAGACTTAAAAATGTAAAGCAATAAATAGCTGGGTAATACGAAATTTGAATGTGTATATATTTTTTGTGTTCCGCAGCTTTAGGGTATCAAGTTTACATTAAAAAACTTAAAAAAATCTATCTATCAATTGGCGGCTTACATGTTAAATTCAGTTTATTTTTAATTAAAAGTAAGTACAAACTAAACCTATTGTACTCGTATGTAGTATTTTTTGTGGTGTGTTTTATATTAGATGTACAAAAATTAGTATTTTGTCCGATCTGGCAACAATGTAAAATGATATAAAAGATGCTATATACAAATTTTATTAAAAAAATAACCAAAAATAGTTTAATAATTAAAAATAAGTTTCTTCATTTGAATATTTTACTTGAATATTAATTATTTAAATTACACCAAAAAATAATAATGAATTACCAACGCATGAATTCAAAGCAAGAACTTGTTTTTTTAACAACTTCGTTTAACATAGATTTATTATAAATTGCTCTTGATTTTATACAATAAAACAAAATTATCTTTAACAAAGTGTTAATGTTGTTGCAAATTCACATACATACATGTATTTGGAGCACTCCAACTCTATTTATAAGTTTCAATGTTGCAATACTGTGAAATGCTTCAAAAATTTAAATAAAAGTATTTCCACGTTGTTCTTTAAAATGCCTTTCAAGAGCATAATAAAAATTATTTTTAATCTATTCACTATTAGAGCCAATTAAATATTTTACAGTTTGAGTTTATATCATGTGACTTTATCTAAATGACCGTGAGAGTTATCTCTAAAAAATCCAGCTTTACTCGTTTTTCAATGCACATTAATTTTGTGTGTTATTCTTGGCTACAAAAGGGACTAATTCCGCTTTGGAGGCGAAACAATCGATGTGAAACCATAAAGGCAGGCATAAAGAAGATCTTTCAGGGTGTTATTTATTTGGAGTATAATTTTATAACAGGTAAGTGCAGAAATCACGACAAGCGTATCGAATTAATTTGAAATAAATTGTGTGGAACAGTAAAACCTTATTTCTGCGATTTGTTAAAGAACAGAAAAAGAAACGAAAGAGTGAGGGCGTAGTAAAACAATAATAAAAACAGATTACTTCTGTGGGGAATAAAATTTCATGTAGAATTTTTTTTTGGAAAGGGGTTGGAATGAAATGTATATCATTAGTCGACATACATATTAATGTCGTTTCTACTTCGCTAAACTGCCTCAACACACACACAACATCATCGATCTTTTAACATAATCTACTTTTAAATCTTTTATAGCTAAGTAGATGAACTAATGGGTTTCGCCGTGAATGGAATATTTTAAAGTTTAAGTTAAAAAGTAATTTAATTTAGAGCATAAAATTTATAAATATTAGCTGAAACTATAAATAAATAAAAAATTTGGAGAACCGGTTTGACAAGTACATTGATTGAAGTTTATCAATAGTTCAAATATTTGACGTGGGTCAAGTACTCTTTCATGACTCGAACCTTCTAAATACCAAAAACTATGTTTTGTTATCAGTATTAATCGTATTCATTTACAGGTGCATTACTTATAGCAGAAAAGCGTATAAAAAAATCTTTTTTTATTAATTTTGATCGGTCAGTTTTGATGGCAGCTATATGTTATAGTGGTCCGGTCTAAACAATATGTTTGGATATTGAAGCGATGCCTGGGTTAATAATATATGCCAAATTTTGTGATGATACCGTATTTTCCATATATGCTATAACTGTCGGACCTGAACAATTTCGTCGGAGATTCCGATGCCTCGGATAATAATCGAATTTCTAAAGATACTTCATCAAATAAATAATAATAAATACATTCTCTAAAGGGTCTCAGGTCTTTTTTTTTTTTGGTGTTACAAACATCGTGCCAAACTTAATATATTCTGTTCAGGGTATAAAAAGAAGAGTTTAACTTTCATTTCGTCTTCGCTTACCATAAACACTCTTCCTACTCTTCTTTTTCATGGGCAGAACTTAAACAAAAGCGTCTTCTTCTCAAGTGTACCAGAGCAGTGTAACAGAAGCAAATCCAACGTTAACAGTTTGCGGTCAAGAAATGAAAAATAATGAAAAAAGAAACGATGTCGAAAAGTGCAGCTGCTTTCGCCGTCAGCTTAAAATTTAAAAAATGCACACATCCCATTAATACATTCACACTATTTACATAAGCCAACGCGGCCATCATTAAAGCACCTAGGAAGCAGCCCAGCTGGCACACTCCCAAGTTGAGATTTGCAATTATTTACACGTGGTCTAAAAAATTTAACAAACTCAGCACCTGACCGTGGTCACAAGCCCATCATTACGTACACCGGTTACCCGCTACCATCAGGCACTAGGCCCTGAGCACCAGCAGTGCTGCAAACTGTGTTAAAGAAAATTGTAAAGAGTGCAAATTAAAGTGGGCTTAAAAAGGTAACAGAGCGTATAAAAAGTACACAGGCATGAAAATAAAATGGTGTTTGCGATGCATGTGTTTGTGACTTTGCGGTGGCTCTGAATGGGACGGTGGTGGATTAAATTGCCTTATTCGCATTTATCAACCCAACTGTGGTGCTTTAAATGCAGACGATGAATGATCAAACATTTATATATAAATGGGGAAAACAGTACTTGGATATGTAGTTTGTACGTTTAAGAGAGAATGTTTAAAGTGAGTTTATGCGTGAAAAAATATTTTCTCTGTTACTTACCCATATAAGAAGCTTTAGCTAGAACTCGTTCGGGGGTTTCTGGGAAATATGTATTCACACACTTCTGATTTTTATGGTATTAAGTTATACAGTTAATGATTAAAAAAATAGACGATAGAATAGACCATGTCTCAAAGGAATTTATTGATTGACGTCATCATGAAGTTAAATTTTTATGTTGACTTTGTTCAGTTACTGTTTGCAAAATTGCACTAAAAACAAGAAAAAGCATTTTCATCGATCAGTTTTAATGGCAGCTATATGCAATAGTGATCTGATCTGAACAATATGTCAGAAATTTTAGCAATGCTTTGGATAATAAACTCTGTCAAATTTCTGAAAGTACAGTTTGTTTGTTAGCTATTTGCAATAGTGGTCCGAAATCGGTACTTCCGACAAATGATCAGCTGCTTGGGAGAAAAGAACGTGTGCAAAATTTTTGTTCGATATATCAAATACCGATGGACTCGTCACGCTCATCACTTATACAAGTATACCTATATACTTTATAGGGCTTCGACGTTTTCTTCTGGGTGTTGCAAATTTCGTGGCAAACTTAATATACCCTGTTAGATGGAATTTATGTAATAATAGGTAAAATGTGTGTCGAAACCCGTATAATATAACTTGGACCAGAAAGGTTGAAGATAGCACACAATTTCTATGATAGAGCGTAAATTCTTTGGTCTGATAAAGTGGTGATGTGTGGGATTAATACTATTCCATCACAAATTGCCACCATCCTCTTCACCATATAAAAATCTCTTTCAGCTTCGAGAGTCTTAAAGCTAAACATGAAACGGCTCGAAATTAATTAAACATTAGCGAAAAAGTACCGCTGGCAATCATTCTTAAGCACGATATTACCAAATATATGAACTTCATGAAAAGTTCACACAACGGAATTCGGATAACTCCATTTTAGAGGAGCATCTCTAGGTACAACGACAGCTCGAAGGCAGTGGAAGCATTGATGCGACTTAGAAACAGACTTTCAGTGTCGTTTGAGCTTCTTTCAAGCCGAGGCCTTGCACTTGATGTGTGTTTATAAATTATATTACTGTTATAGGGCACGTGTATCTCTAGTGATAGCTAAGCCCCACTTCAGGCAGCATCACCATCCGAGATTAAATTGTTAAGACAATAACAAATTTCTGGACTTTGCTAAGTCAAAATATTTATTTATTCATGATTATTGAGATGTCATATAAACGAATGGGTATTTGGAAGAAAGGCAAACGCCAATTTTGCTACATTATGGCGGAATCAATAGAAAAGTTCTTATATGAGCGCAGTTCGACCAGTACTTACCTCGGTGCCGATTGGTCTGCTTATCAAACATAAGCATAGCGTCCTCAATCTGCAATTAAAAGAAAAAAAGATAAAATATAATCATCAATTATGTTTAAAACAATTACAGATATTTTCTTTGAAATTTACTAAAAAGAAATCTAATTAAGATATGGTATGATACATTAAGTGCTAAAGAGCGGGAGTTTAGAACTTGGACGCGAAAAATGCGAATCTGCCATTAGCGCTGTTCATCGTCGCGTAGTTGAGTTTCATTAAGTTTTGTCACTTTACAGCAAACTATTATGTCTCAATTAAAATAAAATAAATGTTGCCCGAGCTGCTGCTCTGTTGATTCATTGGTGGTCCAAAGATTGGGTGTGTGAGCTATAAGCTCATGCGTGTGTTTGTATGAACTTCGAGGGTGTTGATTGGTTTGGCGATTAAGTTGACGCAGCTGAGTTGTTGACCAAGGGAGACGGAAAAGCAAGTTCATCTGGTATCTTTTGAAGGTATGGCAGACAAGTGGATAACGTGGAAAGTAAGGATAGAGGGGGACGAGTTACTACTCAAATAGTTGGCAATTACAAGCAAAAACTGCACAAAGTGTGTTTTACAGGGTGTCCTTTTTGATTTATTTCATCGCCTTTCGTTATTATGGCTACTTAACTGCACGAATTGATTCCTGAGTTCCTTGGTGCGATCGGCGAATGTTGAAATTCTGCCCACGAGATTTGAACAGTCATTTTTCGAATCTCCTCCTGATTGTTATTAATAGAATAGACAAATATCGACATGTATATATGGTAGTTGTTCAGATCCAATGTTCTATGGGTACACCCTATTTACATATAAGCTGAAACTCTGACCAGTGTCATAGATTGGTGGTAGCAAATTCCCTTACATGGCGCTCATTTTGGTGCCAGAGCTATATCACTTTTTGTTTTTGTTATATGAACACGCTTCGTGTTCGTTGTCAACAAGTTCAGCAGCTGCGAAAACTTTTCCCATTATTCCAAATAACTGATAATACCTCAACTTGGTAGGCTACAGAAACAACAATAACAGTCTTCAGCATTTGGAAAGTAGGGGCCATTGGATACAGTTTTAGCTGCGAGTCGTGCCTGTTCGCTGCTGCTGCACAATTCCATAGCTTAGCGCAGCTGTCAGTTGTCTTCTCCTCTTTAATTAGTGATACTCTCTTTCAATTGCAACCATTTTTAGTTCAGCAAGTAAGGAAGGGCTAAGTTCTGGTGTAACCGAACATTTTATACTCTTGCAACTTGCAAGAATCAAAGTCCGGGAAATTCAAGTGCTAGCAAAACTTTATATTAAAAAATGTTGCTAAAGAATTAAACATCCCTTATTTGATGAAATCGTGAGTAAATTACAATCACATTTGATATTATTATTTTATATGACTTATATTGAAGGCCATAAACGTAGAGTTAGTTTTATTGTTATTAATAATACATTTTTAAAAAAATTTGTCCACTTAATATTACTAAAATATCACACATTTTGACCAACTGAAACAGTGAAAAGACAGGTGGAAAGAAAGAAATCATTTTACGGGGTATATCGGCGATAGATATGCATTAATTTTGACATTGCTCAGGTATACTCGGGAACATATTTTGAAGCAATTTTATATATAAATAACTCACTGACCGATAAACTGTTTTCGGCATAAAATTGTTAGAATAACGTAAATCGTTATAATTTAGATATGGCAGTTGGGGGTAGTATTGACCAGATTTGATAAATTTTTGCCATAATCACATACTACTAACATGCCACAGACCAATAAAATGCTCCCAGGGTTTAATTAAGGCACAAAAATACACTATTATGAGTAAAGCGCGCTCTCTAATTTAAGTGAGATAGCTCACATGTTGGCCGATATATGCGGTCCTTAAGTACAAAAATCTAAGGGAAAAATTGACACGATTCAACCCATTTTTGACATATGAACATACTATTATAAGGAAATGATCCTCTCTACATTATAATTGTATATCTCACTTATTGACCGATATTTTCGGTAAAAAGTCAACTATATGTACTTGGGTCCATATATTCGGTAACTAGGGGCTTGAACAGTTTTGGTTCGATTTGGGCAGTTTTTGATCCAAAGGTGGTATACTTTAAATGCATTATTCGTGCAAAGTTTTATCCCGATTAATTAATTTTTGCTTAATTTGCATACTAGGAAGTGAAAGATTCCTAATTTTAAAGTTGGTTATATGGGAAATTGTATTCCGATTTCGCCCATTTTTGTACTGTAACATAGGAATGTCAGAAAAACGTTACGTACGGAGTTATTGCACTTTTAGTGGTTTTAAGGTGGTGGAAGTTTGCGGGGTTATCGTTCGATTTCACGCATTTTCACACCGTCGATAGGGTTGCGAAAAATATGTGTCCTGAGTGGATTTAGTTATTATAGCTTTAGCGGTTAAGGCGGGACCACGCCCAAGTTTTCAAAAAATATTTAAACTGCAGATGTCTCTCCCTAAAGTGATTCATTATACCAAACAACAGTCTCTCAGTCACCCGGATTTCAATTCGTCTCTTCATTATTATTATTTTTATGTACAAAAGCCTATAGCTAACTCGATTAGTTTTGGGTGATACTATTATACTCTGTAGCAACATGTTGCAAGAATATAAAAAGTGACTTAATATCGCCCACTAACACTCTTTTTATACTCTCGCAACCTAGTTGTAGTTCAATATTAGTCAGTGGGCGTGGCCCACTTTTAGGTGAAAACCCATATCTTGGGATCTGCTTAACCGATTTCAACTAAATTCGGTACATGAGATTATTTTTATATCTCTATGATATAGTGTGAAAATGAGCGAAATCTGATTAGAACCACGCCTACTTCCCATATAACACCCTTTTTAATTCCAATTGATTCTTTCACTTCCCACCAGCAATTATGACTGTATCGGGATAAAACTTTGCGTGAATAATGCTATTAAAGTATGCCACCTTGTGGCCAAAAATTGTCTAAATCGAACCAAAACTGTTCAAGCCCCTAGGTACCTAATATGTGGACCACAGTGCCTATAGTTGACCTTCTACCGAAAATATCGGTCAATCCACAAAGAAATCTCAAACGAGTATACCATTTGACTTTGCGAGAGTATAAAATGTTCGGTTACATCCGAACTTAGCCCTTCCTTACTTGTTTTGTATCATTTTGTATGTATGTATATGTATGTTTCTACTAGGTGACAATGAGTGAATTTTCGCATCAGCACGAATAAATCGATTCGCTTCTGATTACCAGATAGTAATTGCTATATTAATATGAACTAAAACTATTTTACTGCATCATTTTTTTACAGCTATGCACTACATTATATTACTAAATTTAGGCGCCCGGTCGATAGTTTGACACACGGTCACTTAACCCCACTTAAACCGCTCTCCTACAGCGGTGGTTATGTAAGTACTTATATAAACTATGGGCAATGTGTATTTAAGAGCAGAAGAAAAGTTTTTGTAATTGCAGCAAAATTGATTAGTGAATTAATCATATTGATGGCGAACATTTCTGCGCTGCAAACACTGAAATTCACTCAAATACTTGGCCGCGAAACTGCTATATTGATATTGAGTGGACAGCAGCTTGATGGCTGGTTAACTCCTCGGTGGTTTTGGTGGCAAATTGGTTGAATGGCGATAATGAAAAAGTTTTTTGATTGAAGTGGGTTAATGGTAGTTAAGCTAACGAAATGAAAGGACAACACTGACAACTTGTGAGTATTGAATGTTTTTAATGGAGTTTCGTGTGTCACTAGAAAGTTTTTAAAACTAAAAATTTTCGGTACGAGATTTTTCGCCCAAACGGTCCTTACCAATGACTCAAATCGACTATGGAAAAAAAGAGTAAGTAATTTCTATAATGCGTCTTCAGCTTTTTCGCAATAAATTTATGTTTTTGGCTTGTCTCTGCAAATAGAGGTAGTATAAGTAAGTATAAATGTATGTATTTTGAAATTTATTCCAAATTATATATTCCAAGTAATGTCAGAATAAAAACATGGTAAAGAATTGCTTATCTCGATTTCCAGCAAAACTATGGGTTGTTTTTGGATTTTTTATTTTTATCTTGTACTAACATTTTTTTCTTTTAAATATTTTTATCTTGTAAAGTTTTTAGTTTTTTTTTTCACGACGCTTGATGTTAACTTGCCTGCTTATGTTCTAAGCATACTGAAGTTTTTTAAATTTAAAATATAATATATTATGTATGATCACCTAATATCGGAAAAAACCCTAATTTTCAATCAAAAAATCTTAAGTCAAAGTTTCAAATTTTTTTATGTCAGTAGGTTTTACATTTTTATGGAAAGTTTTCCCAGAAATACATACATATCTCTCTCTACTGCAAAAAGAGACCGCACAAAACGATACACATCTGCTTTTCGTACTGCCGCTACTACGAAATAATAGGTATATTGCTTATTTGCGTTCTCTTTTATACCATCAAAAAGTAGAAATTTTAGTAAATATAAAGCCTACTGACTTTTTGAAAAAATCTGAAATTTTGGCATAAAATTTTTTGATTGAAAATATAGGTTTTTTCTGATATTAAGTCCGTATAATGAGAAAAAATAAATATTTCATTAAAAAAAAATTCAGTATGTTTAGGACATAAAAAATATTGTTTGTACAAGATAAAAATGAAAAACCTATTAACTGGGTTATTTGAATTTTTCACACAAGTTTTAAGGTTATGTGAAAAAAGTCTGTATACAAAAGTTATAGACCTTTTCATTACCTACAACATTGTCATATAACTTTTTTTATCGAACTTTGCCGGAAATCGAGATAAACCGTATTGAGCCCAATAAAATGCAACCCCCCCTCTCCTTCCTTTTCCCGACCTCAGACCGTCGGTATATTATTTTTCCATTGATGTATGTCATTTTATCTTTCATTTTCGATGAGCTTTATTCATTTATCTCTTTTATCATTTTCAAAGCCTTCGGCACTAGTTTATTAGTAATTCACAAGTTTATAACTTCTGGGAAAGTTTCCTTAGACTTGTATATATGTCTTTAGCTTCTATATCTTGTATAACAAACATTCTTGATTCGATAAGACCTGAAACTTATGTTTCATAAAATAATTAAGGTCACACTTTAAACTAATATAGGTAGATTTGTTTAATAATATTAAAGAAGGTCGCTATCTTAAAATTTATAAAATAAGATATACAGGTCTAATGTTTTTCCCAAAATAAGTTCTACAAAAAAAAACAGTTCATCAATATGTGGAGTGACAAATAATTTATACTAATCTTAGGAAGTATTTTTGAATATCCGTTGAATAGTGCTGTTCATTCAAACCAAGTGTATTATTCAAAAATATAACACTAACATCGCAGGCGTCAGCTGGCGAAATTTTCCCATATTGCCACCTGTGTTTGATCGAGAATTGTCTACTTTTCTTTATTTGCACAAATGCTTCAATAATTTTTCTCTGCTGGAGTTGAGGAAGTACGCTTTCTTCCATATTTCACGTGTCCTTTTGACTGTGATTAGATTATTCGCAAGAATTCATTCAACTGTGAGCATAATATGAAATTTTATTGTCACCCAACATCAACTATCTCTCCGAATCTTTATATGTACTAAATCCCCAAAAACAGCAGTAGAGGAAAGCAGTAGCAGCTGTTCCTGTCGAATACAAGTCCTTTACATTATTACACAGTGTTGTAGTCAACTTCATTCATAAAAGAAACACTTATTAAAACGTGTTTGAGTGCTTCTAGAGGCGGTATTACTAAAACTAACTTCATTATCATTAAGACCATATGTATATTACAAGGTGCATCCAAAGTAAACAGTAAAAAAGTAACAAAGTAAACTCTAGTGGCGCTATTTATATGTCGACTAGTGCGTTAGAATCTGCTATCTTTTATCGACTTCCAGTAAAAATTTCATGTCATTTCATTTATTGGAAGTGAAGTTATTGTGGTGCGAAAATGAGCTTCGAACAAAGAACCAACATTAAATTTTGTTTTAAAATTGCTAAAACCTTGTACCGAAACATTTCAATTTATGAAACAAGTTTATGGCGATGATTGCCTGTCCCGTAGCAGAGTGCACGAGTGGTTTCAACGTTTTCAAAGTGGTCGTGAGGACATAAATGACGATGAGCCGAAACCCAAAAAATCGCGAATGTAGAAGTCAAAAGTGAAGTGTATTGTATTGTCCACAAAGAATTTGTTCCACCCGGCCAAAACGTTAATGCGGTATTCCACCTTGGAGTTTTGAAGCGTTTGGTGCACCGTATTCGACGTGTTCGGCCCGAATATCGCGAAGATGGAAGTTGGCGTTTGTTGCACGATAATGCGCCGTCTCATCGATCGACGCTTGTCGCCGATTATTTGATCAAAAGTCACATTTTAAAAATCAACCACTCCCCGTATTCACCTGATATGGCATCGTGCGACTTCTACCACTCGTTCGACATGCTTTTGGACCGTGCAAAAAGCGGTATTAAAGCAGAAAGAGACTATTTTGAATAAAGTTAATTGATTTTGCCGATAAAACCATTTGTTCTGTCTTTATTTTAAAGGTCCTGTCTACTATGGAACGCATCTTGTATTTATATTTAAGATGTAGCAGATTGAAAAACTTGAAATAGTACTTCCATAATATTGTTGAAGACTAAATTCATTATCTTTATTTAATGAAATATTGTTTTGTTGGGAGTTTTTCTTATCTTACTTCCATCTTCTTTAAATAGAAATAACAAGAGATTAACTGCCTTAGTGCTTTTATATATGTATAACCAAATTTTTACTTGAGTTATCAGATATATTTTAAAGATAAATGAAAATGTTCCTGTAAAATAATTCTGAGATCTTTTTATATCAATCATGAAATTTCAACGTTTAACAGTCGCTACAGAAATGGTATCGGTTTTGGGTGTAAAGGAAACCAATTTCACCGGTTTTGTTATCAGAAACACAGCAAGAGGATAGTCGCTGATAGATTTGAAATGTAAGATAAGAAATTAATTTATATTATTGTTGCGATTTTATTTATCTTAATTTTTATAGGGGAAAACATAAGAATAAAACACAAAATGTTATAATTATTGAGTTTATGAAAAAAATCCACCGTAATTTAACTCCCAAATGCGTCTTTATTTAGTCGATAATGTGATATAAATCTGTAAAGTTAAAGTTAGCATTTATACAAACATACAAGTAAATGCAAACCTTATTTCACATGCGACTTCCCTGGTGCATCAAGTGGATTACTGTGATCTCTTAATATCTTCCCTTTAATTTATTCGTTGCTTTTTTCTTCTATTGTAAACTTTAGACTTTATTCAGTATTTTAAATTTATGATACACTTTTAAATTCATTCATTTGTAAGTTTTGTCACATTAGTAAAGAGCTGATTCGTAAATTAGTTTTGCAAATGTTCGAAAAGACGAAAATCCAATCAGATTCTTTGACAGCATTGGAAATTAAAATTGGTTTGCAATTCTGACAACTACGCAAATCTGTGTTGGATTCCATAACACCTCTGAGTAGTCCGAGTTTAGTATTTTAAATTTGGGGTATCTGTAATATTTCTAATATTATATTATCTAATCTGAAGACGAAAAATTGGTTGATATACACAGCTAAGAAGGGCTCTCCAAGAACGATCTCTTAATTGTAACGGGAACTTTGCTCAGATAGAAAAATTCAAATCTCGATTCCCACTGCTTGAAAAAATATCACGTTTTTTTGTTTTTTATTTCCCTTTAATAGGTATTATTGATGTTTGACGACGAATATCTCGTAAACGCTTAACTTAATCGATAAATGGAACAAACCATGTTTGTAGAGCAGAAAATTTCCTACGATACTGTGAGCTTTACAATTTTAATTTATAAAAAAAATATTTTTTTTATTTTTTTAGCCACCCTACTTGTAATATATCTGTCATATAAACTCACCGGTCGAACTCAAGCAGAGTAGTGGCGAATCGAAGATGGCTATTATAAATATGTATGTATACATACGTTTCAAGCGCTAACAAAATCATTGCATATTTCAGAATTTTAAGTGTGTGCTTAATTTAAAATGCGGACTCATTTCCTTTAGCCAGGACAAGGGAAGAAATGAGCAGACCAAATTGGTATGTAAGTATGTATTTTAACGTTACATTTGAATATGTACGAATTTGACTGAGAATGCAGACAAACGAGTAGTAAACAATGAAAGAGAAAACCAAAGAAAGAAATTTTAAAAGCAACAACAATTATAAAGGCGCTCTGATACTGCAACGGTACACAGGATAACAGCTGAGAAAATAACTACAACGGAAGGAAACAAGCAACTACAAAGCGTGCAATAACAACAAAATTGCTGCACATTAGGTTGAAAAAAAAACAACAACATACAAAACATGAGAAAATATTACGCTGGAAATTGCGCAATAATAACAAAAACAACGAATTGTACAAGGATGCTGTGAGATTTGAAACCCAAACCAAATCTTCGCAGAGCAGAGAGAATGGCTATTGCTATTGTTGTTAGTGCTCGGCTGACTGCTTGCTAGCTGCAACGGAAGTGTGCCACAAGTTGCACAGAAGTTGAAAATAATATCGCATTATTTTGCCTTCTTTCAACATTTTTATTTGCTGCGCACATTGAATCATAAGAAACGTTACATACTCCCGACGACGACGCGTCATCATCTGTGCCTCACACCCAGCAGCCGGAAGGGACCCAAGACAAAGTTTTCCAGCGATTAAAGGCGAGGGAGTTACGTCGACAGACGACAACTGCCGCTTGAGCGCATCAGCCATTCGACTGTGTAAATGAGATGCAACAATGATGCGGCTGCTGCGACGCCGACCGCGGCATCATCACAGTTGTCGCCGCCTGCAGTGCATAAGAATGATGGTAACACAATTGTGGCATTTGTGGCACGCGTGCGGAATATGGCAAAGGAATGCGCTAACAATAAAGCATATAGTGCTGTTGGGCTTATAGACAAAGGGCGGGCAGCTGGCGGTAGAATGCAGTTCTGGGATACACAAGTGTCTTTGTGCGTGCGTCGTGGCAAACTGAAGAAAATATGGGAAAATCGCTCGATGATTATGTACAGCATGTGCGCAATAAGGCACAAAATAACAGCTCAGATATGGAAGGAAATGGCAGTAACATAATCATTAAAAACAGTTAAAACAATGGAATCTCGGTGGGTTCGCGGAAATAACAGTACGCGAGCAAATCGGTGTTTCGGTGTTCTTTTGGTGTGCTCTCAAAATCTTGCGATACAAAGTGCTGTCAGCCAGGACATGTTTACCTTCAAATAATTTTGCGTGTGTAATGCTTGAGTTATTATGCAATTTTGTCGTCAGTTAAATATGAAAGGTGTTAAGTACTATTTTTTCTTTCCTATGTATATCAGATGAAAGAAAATATTTCAGTTTTGTCTAATAATAATCAAAGAGATAAACTTAGAGGAGATTAAAGGCTAAATAGAACTTTTAATTATTACAAATATTAACTTAAACTGTCAAAATCATTGTATGTGCAGTGGAATTTATTGCACTCATATGAAAATGTGGATTTAGTTTTAATCCCTTTTAATCTTTTACTTAATTGGCAATTATGCTGTCAATAGATAAACGTATTAATTGAAAAATGACCAACATATTTTCCCGCAACATTATTCTATTCATTTCACTAAAACTTATTCACTATAAACTAATAAATTAAATCTATTTCACGAATAAACAAAAGTGCTTAAGTTTTTGTATACAATTTACATGATGTTCTATACTCGTACGTCACAAAATGGCGGGTGGCGTAGTCTTGTATTCTATCATTCTGGGGTCGATGACGTATGCTGTTGTTATAACCTTCTGGACTCTAATGCTTTAGTTAGTGTCCGACGCAAACCCGTAGAATGTATCAGCTGATACGACCTATCTTATGACAGCGCAATGTAAATGAACACTCACCCCCGCTTCTACCGTCCGTATCGCGGGATATCCACGATGATGGGTTTCTCCTGTAGAAAGGAGTCAGCTGATTGTTCTCTTACAGTGCAGGGTTCCCACTCTCGATATTTTGGGGTAATTAAAAAATAAACTTGAATATATTTGAAATATTCTTAAACTAACTGAACACCAAAGTCGAATACCATTATTTATAAATAGGAGACTATTTTTAATAGCTGGATATTAGGTTTGATCTTTTAAATTAAGGAAAATTATAACTGAAAACCTAAATGTCTACAAAACCATCTACATAAATTGAGCAATGGCATAACGTTTGGCAAATTTCGTTTGATACGGACGGTAAGTACGGAAGGGCACTAGTTCCACCATAATGCTTTGAACACTAGTTCCACCATAATGCTTTGAACACAAAGACGAATTCACTACAGCGAAATTTTCTTGTCGGCAAATGTCGTCTGGCAGCGCGCTTCTTGAGCATTTTGAAGACTGCAGCGACATATCAAACAGCTGATGTACACAATTTCGTTTTTGTCGTACTAAGAGATTTCACTTCATTCATATTTAAATATTTTGTTCAAAGTGAAATTTTATTATTATTATTACAAATGCTATTTAAACTATTTTATGCTTCTCTTGGTAAGATAACGTTAAACTTGTTAGAGCTTTGAAGAATTTTGCATTTCACTTAAATATTAGTGGCAACACTACACCTTCCCATAGTGGTCGGCAAAATTAGAAATGGTTTTAAATTAGCGATAGCGACCACTGCTAGCCTGGTGCCGTGAAGTCGTGCTGTTGTCTTAATAACTGTGCCGATAAGAACGTGTGTATGTTAACAATTGACAGATACTGCCTGATGCTTGTCGTCATCTATGTGTTAAGCGTTTGAGACCTGAACGACTCGGAAGATATATATATATATATATATGTGCCAATATGCAGCTAGAAGCCTACAAAATGAATCGACAGCAAAACAAAAGCTAGACGAAAATTTGAAAAAGTGTCATGAAAATTCACTCTGATGAGGCCAAAGAGGTATTCATTAAAAAATAAAAATATCTCTATGGAGTTTTAACGAAGTATTTCGGTTAGAACTTTGACAGCCCGGGCACAGGACAGAATAAATGCAACATTTTTGTGAGAAAATAAAACGCAGTTTGTTTGTGTATAAATCTATGGTATATACATATGTATCTCTCGACGATCTGTTGGTGAACAAGGCGGAACGTGTTGCGAGTATTTAGTAATTATTGAATTGTTCAAGGTTTAATATTATATAAATAGGAAAGTGTGAAAATGTCTTGTATGAGACCAGCTAAAGTCAGCTGGAAAAATTTTACTTTTCATGCTTTATCGGAAGGATACCTTCTATGTGTATGTGTACTTAAATATAATAACAGTATGAGATAAGCAATGCATTTATCAGTTTATTGGCGTCTTACAACATCGTAAAACAACATCAATTTACAACCGAGCGGTATGCATCAGATGCTACCAGCAAGTCACAAAATGGCATGCTACCATCGGTCATTATCAACAACAAAAACAACAATAATAGTTGTCATCAAACATCAGCGCTAGCGACGCAACTCCGCTCATTTGATGGATCATTCGGATACGATGCACAGTGAGTGCATAAAAGTCCGAAGGATATGTGGACTGAAATGCCCACACATGTGTACCTTATGTAAGTAAAATAATGCACTTGCACGTACATATGTGTTATGGCCGGAATATACGAATGTATGCATGTATGATATGCATTGTTGAGTGTGCAGTGGCATGCCACTTTGACGAGAATGGCACTTCCATCACGCGATATTATGATGGCATCGCAGATGTTAATAGTGATGTAGACGACGATTATGGCGGGCATGCTGAAATAGGAACGGTGTTGGTATGTGCCTAGGGCACGATTGTTTATACGACCTTTTAATGGTAATGGTGGAGTTGGCGCTTCGTTGGTGAATAAATGCTCGTTGTACACTTCCGCAACATTTTTTCGTATCAGCGTCGAAGAACCTCAATATTAGCCGGTAACAGCGTAAAAGACAAATGGTCGCTTTATAACTCTGCAAGCATTCAACAGTTTTGAGGAGTGCCGCCCTGAACGCAAATTCACCTAAACGATCTGAAGCTTATTCACACATATGTATGTACAAGTATGTACATATACTGTACTTTCACGCTTCATTGGTCTACTCGCTACGGCATGGAGGGCGTGGCGTAGTAAAAGGACAGTATAGGGTATATTAAGTTAGCCACGATATTTGTAACAACCAAAATAAAACGTCGGCGTCAGGTATATATTTATATAAAGGATCAGCGTGACGAAATTAGTTGATTTGGGTCTGTGCGTTCTTGAGATATCGACATGAAATTTTGCAATAATCAAAATCATGTCCTTGTATGGAAAACTTTTTAATTTGAAAATATATCTTCATGAAATTTGGTTCGAATTATTGCTTTAGGCCATCTGTGAAGAAATTGTTCAGATCAGGCGACTATGACATATTGCTGCAATAAAACTTTTTTGTTTGACAAAGTATAGTTATGAAATTTGGCATAGATTATTTACTTAGGCATCGCTACAATCTTCGAAAATATTCTTGGGGGCGGACCATTAAGGCATATATTTGCCATTTAAATTGACCGATTAAAATCATTATAAAGGTCTTTTTTTACCTTTTATATGCTATAAAACTTGCAACTATAATGGGTATTATTGTTTCAGTACAGACGAAGTTAACGTTTTTTCTTGTTTTTACTAAGTTTAATTATATAATTTCATTTCATGGAGTCAAAAACGTTTAATACCCATTTCTTCAGCAAATTTTAAGAATTTCTTCTTATGTACTCATAAATGGATGCTGCCTGGAAGCCCTGGGTACCTACCTTTTGTGGGATCAGAGAGATATGTCTACTGAGAGTTAAATGGAAATTAGATTCAAATATTGTATAGTGGTGTTTATAGCGACGTTTTTGGTTTCAAATAGTTTTACGAAATATCTTGAAATATAATATATACAATTGAGTAACAAATGGCAGTCTAGACTATTGAATATAAAAGTGATTGATTTCAACGTATTCTTAATCTTTATCTAAAGTAACCGGAGTACAGGGTGTGTAGAGTGATTCGAAATTCAGGGCTGTTGCGCAGTATATACCGTATGAACACTGTTTTGAGAAAACATTCAATATTGTTGTAATTGAAAGGATTAATTAAGAAAATTTCTTAAAAAATTTAACGTGACAGTTAAAATACTTTACTTACTGACTAGTATGGCTTTGTGGAAGATTTTTGGTTACAAAAGTGAATGTGCGACCGTTAGAAAATATAATTCTCTTTTATGGTAAGTATTCATAAGTTAATTTCTCGTTACTACGTAGAGTCTCTTTTACAGTCAGGCACGATGAAACGACGAGGAAAGACCGTGGCGTTCGTGTTCGGATCGTAACGTTCGAATTTTATTATCTATTTTTTGTATGTACCAAAAGAGAATTTGCCGATAATGAGGAAAAAAGAGCCCATGCCTGAACGTAGTCTTACCGACTTCTGTATGCATCTTTCTGGAGTTTATTTATTTACTTAACTTAGTAGATTTCTCCAATTTATAACTCTTCACATTATTTTGCAACCGAAGCGTCACGTTTTAGTTTATTTATACTTTTTAGTTGAAAATCCAAATTGCTGACAAATCAGCTTCCCTCATTAAATATTTTTGTGGGTAATCTGTATTAAATGTGTACTCACTATAATTCTGTTTGCTATAGATACGATATTAAAAAATATATACATATGTATGTACAGTTTTATATAACAAAATCAACAACTCAGTGATGCTGCTTGTGCAATAACGGCACACACATCAATTAACAACAATAACTCGATGTATTAATTATCATATTAAAATTTTTGTCAGCCATTTTTGGCCTGGTTTAAAATAGCCAACACTGCAGATTTTGGGTTTTTACCGTTAATTGATGAGTTAAAAAGTGCTTTGCAAAACCCGCTTCCACCTACACGTTAAGGGCGTGGTGCAATGTAGCACTTGAGTATATAAGCGGAGTGGTTGGTAATGGAACAGGAATGGTGCAGAATAAATCCAAACACATCCTCATACAAGTACATATTCACCAGAACTTGCAACAGCGTGTAGCATGTAGCATGCGCCGGTTTGCTTTGTCATTATTCGGCCGCAAATTTTTATTCTATTAGCCTTCATTAAACAGGGACAGCGTAGGTGCCGGGCATCAAGCGTGCTGTGGGAAGCATAGTTAAACAGAAGACAGCAAGAGTGGTGGCTATCGACAGACAACGCGGCATGTGGCTACCATTTATATTTTTAATGTGCATTCATTAATTTATTATCGTAATCCGCAATCATGGCAACTTCAAAAAGCCATCAACAACCAGCTGTAACCAACAAGCTTTAAAACAACAACTATAACAAAAACTACTACAATTGTGTGTATATTAACCAGTATTGTCTCACATAGCGGTTGTTTATCGAAACGTTGCGTCGCAAGGACTTGTTCAAAT